CACACTGATGAGCTGTGATACAGCGAAACAGTGTCTGTGGATGACTTATATATATATATATATATATATATATATTACACATACATACACATACATAGACACAAGCTGAGGCATGTATTAATATAAAATTAAAAATTAAAACAATGAAGGCAGGAAAGAAAAAATAAAATTCGGGAAAAAGATGGCATAGAAAAGTGATAAAAACTAAAAAAAACAAACAAACAAACAAACAAAAAAAAAACGAACAAAAAAAACAAAAAAAAAAAAAAAAAAAAAAAAAAAGATAGACAAAGAACAAGTTACATACAAGAAAATTATAAAATATTTAAAAAAAATAAATGTGTTCATTTCAATGATACTAACAATTGGTGGCAAAAGTCAACTGGTGGATGATTTGAATGAATATCAGATCAAGATATGTTTGGTGACGCCAACATTGGAAAAAGGGGTTCCACATACATCATCTTGGTTGATTCCTTTAATCTGATATGTTTCCATGTTCAACTTACAGGATACAGTTTTCAACTTGGCCATGACATTTTGTGTTGTAAATATCTACATCAGTATTTCTCAACAGGTGTTCCCTGGAACACAAGGCTTTTGCAAGACGTCACTAGGTGTCCTGTGAGAAAGTTTCATTTTATATCCACAATTTTTCTATATATGTACAGAATATTGTTGAAAAATCCTTTGTTATTAGAACAAAGGCTTCAACCTTGTATATCAATTAAAATTATAATAATCCTGTGATATTTGTTATTTGTGTTTATAGATTTTTTTTTTTTGTGAATAAAATCTTGGTATGAGACCTCATAAATGAGCAATATGACTTTTTGCATTGCCAATGAATTTGATGAAAAGGGAGGTCTATAAGTCTACCATGTAAACTACAATAAAAATATAAAAGGGATAGATAATTTTTTATGCAGGGGGTTCCCCGAGACATGAAAACCATTTCAAGGGTGGCACAAGGGTAAAAAGATTGAGAAATGCTAGTCTATTCTATTTTCAATTTCCTTGTTGCCTATGCTAAAATCTTTGGTTAATATAATAAAATATAAAAGAGACAGATGTTAATAATTGTATATAATCATTTTTTATGCAGGGGTTTCCCAAGACATGAAAAGTATTTCAAGGGTTCCACAAGGGTAAAAAGATTGAGAAATGCTGGTCTATTCTATTTTCAATTTCCTTATCACCTATACTAAAATCCTTGGTTATTATAATAAAATATAAAAGAGATCAATATTAATAATTGTATATAATCATTCTTTATGCAGGGATTCCCTGAAACATGAAAACTATTTCAAGGGTGGCACAAGAGTAAAAATGTTGAGAAATGCTGTTCTAACCCTTCCACCATCTTCTCATCCATTATTTTCTACTAAGCAACTGAAATGTATTAGGAGTGGGTTTAAATGTTCTTGCCTTGACCCACTTCCTAAAACATGACCAAATAATCAATCTGAATTTATTATCCCTTGTCAGGCTGAAGAATTTTCAGCACTAACTTGAATGATTTTGTGCCAGAGATTTGGCTGGTTTTGGCACACACTCTAAAGAAAAAAAAAAAATGTTGCTCACCCCTGGCTTAGTGCAATGTTTCTCAATTGGTGGTCCAGTCCCCTTTTATACAGGAGTTCCCTTAGACATGAAAACTATTTCAAGTGTGGCACAAGGATAAAAAGATTGAGAAACACTGGTCTGTTCTATTTTCAATTTCCTTCTCACCTATACTAAAATCCTTGGTTATTATAATAAAATATAAAAGAGACAGATGTTAATAATTGTATATAATCATTTTTATTCAAGGGTCACCAGAGACATGAAAACAATTTCAAGTGTGGCACAAGGTTAAAAAGTTTGAGAAAAGCTGGTCTACATTTTCTACACAATTTTGACTGACACATATTCTCATTTGAAATAATATTTACAGTGCACACAAATTGTAGAGTGGAAACACAGTTAGATATTTTTGCTTGAGATGCATCATATGTCATTGATGACGGATTGTGCAGGTAGTGTACAGGATATCAGTGCAGGATGTGGTATCAGCAAGGAGACTTGGGAAAATCATGAATCTGTCTTTTCTCTCCCCTTCACCAAATATGGGTTAAATAGGAGGGTAAACAAGGCTCTCTAGCCTTGGATGGCAGCCAGTCTAAGAGAAAGAAAAGTTAAAATTCCAAACTGTTGAGAAAGCAACAAAAAGTCACTCCACTATATTTTTTAATAATTTGCTTAGAATATTGCAGCCACATATGGTTCTTGAGCTCCTTGATAACATCCAAAAGAAGAATCTGCAATATTATTGGTCCTGATCTGGCAGTTCAGATCCAGTCACTTTCCCACCATCGTAAGGTTGCCTCTCTGTGTTCTTTCTATAAATACTTTCATGGTAACTGTTCGGATGGGCTCTTCACTATGGCACCCAGACTTTATGAATTTAAGTGCAGTACTAGACTGGCTTTGAGATCTCATCAATTTACATTTGAACTGACTAGATGTAACCGTAAATTCTATGCTAACAGTTTCTTTTCTTGCATTTCTCACTTGTGGAACTCCCTTTTAGCTTCATGCTTTCCAGCCAATTTTGTTCTGCAAAAATTTAAATGCAATGTCAATCGCTATCAACTGTCCTCCTGATTACTTTTTTCTCTTCCCGCTCATTTTTAAAGTTTCTGTTCCTAATTCCTCCACACCCTACAACCCCTTGTGTTTTAGTGGCATTATTTCCATGCTTGGGGTAATCTTGATTAAAAAAAAAAAAAAAAAATGTATGGTAATTCATACATAACAAAAAAAAGAAAGCTGTGAAGAGCCATGATTGCTTATATCATAATTTAAACTCTTAATTCAAAACTGTGGTGATGGCAACAGGAAACCACTCAACTCTTTCTGTATAAATTAGCAATTCACAAATTAAAAAAAAAAAAAAGGAATCTGTGGAGAACCATGATCGACTATATCCTAAAGGAAGACAGATGGCTCTTAAATAAAACCATGAAGAAGACAAAAAGTCAATTCATCTCTATCTATGAAAGGCAGGAAGATTCTATTGGCCAGCGTGAGAGCCAACAGCTGACTGACACGAATGTTAACTAGCATGCTAGTAAAAAAAAAAAAAAAAAAAAAAAAAAAAAAATCGATAGCTGCATTCGTCACAAGTGGGAAAAATTTAGATCTGCATGGCACTTTACTCCAATTGGCTCATTCGCTTGCTTAAACTCAACGTTGATTCTGATTCTGCAGAACTGGGTTGGGTGTGAAAAAGTATTTGTTGTTAACATTTCATTTTTTTCCAGTTACGAGTCCCTTTTTAAAGCTGATCGTTTTGTGTTCATTTTGTTTAGTTCTTTTTTCGTAACAGATTTAATGTTTAGTATAGAGCTTAGAAAAAAATCCCAGTGTGAGATAGGCAAGAAGTAAGGCATGTAGCAACATCAGCACAGCAAAGGGCACTCCTTTAAAGGCAAGGAAGGGCAAAAATATTTTAAGTCAAATGATAGCGATTGCTGTATGAGTCGTATGATTTTTGAATCAAGCACAGGCAATACCAAGCCATGCTGCTAGTAGATAATAAAGAGAAGGAAGCTATGGAGAGCCATAACTTCTCACATACTGAGAGTAAAACAACAGCTCTTAATTCAAAATCATTGAGAAGACAACAAGAAATCACTCAGCTTAAGAGTAAATATGTTTGCCTATCGTCCAGTTCACCCCACTCCCTGGTCTTTTGAACAGGAGTAGAGGTTTATCCCTTGTTTCCTGTTTAGGATTGGGTTTCCAGTTCCTTCTAAAGTCTACTTCAAATCTATACTTCTGACATCTCCACCTAAACTCTGAAATGTTATTTATTTATCTTATCTTCTTCCTTCAGTAGGAGTAAAGAGGTTTTTTGAACAGGAGTTATTATTATTATTATCACATTTCAGTTAAGACAAATATTTCGCAATTTTTCACTGGTTGTAACTTTCAACCACTAAAGATTTACACTATTTACATTATTCGGACTATTGCCCTCATCTTTGTCGCCATGTTTATCACAACATTTCAGCTGTTGTACACTCCAGCCTTCTTCAGGTGGTTGGAATGTTGAACTTAACTCTTTATTTCACTCACTAAGGTAGGCTGTTCTAGTTCCACATGCCATATCTAATGGATGTCAGTTATCTCCTGTTAATTCCCCTCTGAAAGTTTTCCACTGCCTTAAACAGGTATTGAACTCATACTCTTTGGGTCCTGTTACTGGATCTAACTAACGCCTTTATTCACTGTGCCATGTTTCCTCATTCCAACCATCTGAAGAACAACGACCGAAACATTGTGATAAATATGGCAACAAAGATGAGGACAATAGTCCGAATAATAGTGTACATAATACCTCATCTCAGAAATATAGACAGATAATGAAGGACTGAAACGTTGTAATAAATATGGTGACAAAGATGAGGACAATAGTCCAAATAATGTACATAGTGTACATAATACCTCATCTCAGAATTATAGACAGATAATGAAGGGCCGGAACATTGTATAAATATGGTGACAATAGTCCAAATAATGTACATAGTGTACATAATACCTCATCTCAGAAATACAGACAGACACTAAAGATTTCTCCATTTTTTTTCTGTTGATTCAAATATTTTTATTCAGTATTTTTTTCTCAAATAAAAAACAGCCAATTGATGAGAAAAATTTTTTCAGTATTTTCTTATAGTTGCACACTGTATTAAAAAAATTTTTTTTTTAATCAATTCACCCCAAGCAAGGTGATAATGCCACTAAAATGCAAGAGTGAAAAAGAATGAGAAGACTAGAAGGAACTGGAAACCCAATCTTAAAATAGAAACAAAGGATGAACCTTTACTCCTATTCAAAAGATTGGGGAGGAGTGTGAACCGGATGATAGGCGAACCTATCTTCTCCTATTGAAGGCATTAAATATGGCAAGAATAATTTCAGACAATAGTGAACAAAAAGAAAAAAAATCTTACTTGAAGTGGATTCTCTACACGTCTATTAACAGAATAGCATGACTGTAGCTGTTTCACCAATTTCATCACATCCTACAAAAAGAAATTAAGTTCATATTATAGTTTGGTGAGGTCCCTGTTTTGTACATGAAAATGCCCTTTTGAAGGCTTGTAGCATTAAAAAGGAATTAATTAAAGTAAATGAACAACAAAGGAGAATATTATTGGCACACCAATAATTTTCTATTCAGATAAATAGTTTCTGGATTTTTTTCCTTTGTTCCCAAATAGTTTAAAGGCTCTTGAAAATAGCTTAAATGCTATTTAAAAGGCTCTTGAAAATAGCTTAAATGCTATTTAAAAGGCTCTTGAAAATAGCTTAAATGCTATTTAAAAGGCTCTTGAAAATAGCTTAAATGCTATTTAAAAGGCTCTTGAAAATAGCTTAAATGCTATTTAAAAGGCTCTTGAAAATAGCTTAAATGCTATTTAAAAAGGCTCTTGAAAATAGCTTAAAAATGCTTAAATGCTATTTAAAAGGCTCTTGAAAATTTAAAAGGCTTTGAAAATTTAAATGCTATTTAAAAGGCTCTTGAAAATAGCTTAAATGTTATTTAAATGCTATTTAAAATGCTATTCTGAAAATAGCTTAAATGCTATTTAAAAGGCTCTTGAAAATAGCTTAAATGCTATTTAAAAGGCTCTTGAAAATAGCTTAAATGCTATTTAAAAGGCTCTTGAAAATAGCTTAAATGCTATTTAAAAGGCTCTTGAAAATAAAATAGCTTTAAATGCTAAATATTTAAAAGGCTCTTGAAAATCTTAAATGCTATTTAAAAGGCTCTTGAAAAATAAAATGTTATTTAAAAAAATAGCTTAAATGCTATTTAAAAGGCTCTTGAAAATAGCTTAAATGCTATTTAAAAGGCTCTTGAAAATAGCTTAAATGCTATTTAAAAGGCTCTTGAAAATAGCTTAAATGCTATTTAAAAGGCTCTTGAAAATAGTTTAAATGCTATGGGCTCTTAAAAATGGTTCTTTGGATGGTCTACAATTTTTCTTTAACTAAACAAAGAAACTACATGAAGGACATTAAAAATTCCATTAGATTATTTTAATTTTAAATACACCAAATCAAAATAGTGAAAATGAATCACAATTTCCCCATGTAAAGCAATTTTATTGATACTCTAAAATATACACAAATCGGAATTATTAGTTAGTAAGGCGAAAATCCCATTGAGGACATTTGTTGTTTGTTTTTGTTTGTTTTTTTTAATTTTGAACTTAAATGTAACAAAAAATATGAAATTTATATGTAACAAAAAAGTTGGCACCGCTATAATTTCCTATAATTTAATTTTAACTTTGCTCCAAAAAGTTGCGATGCTTCAGGCCCATAAAAATGTTTTCTCAGATGGTCTACAAAAAGGCCCATGAAAAAAATGCACAAATTCAGAATAAAGAAAATGCATCACAATTTGTCCAATTTTATTGAAACTCTAAAATATACACAACTAAGAATCTTTAGTAAACCAAGTCAGAATAATCAAAATGCACTAGTGTTACTTTCCTTGTTGTCAGTTGTTTTTAATAAAACGTATAAAAGAGGGATTGCTGCCCACATACACAATTATTAAATTACATGACCTGGCAGCCAACAAGGAAAGTAAAACTACTGCATTCAGGGAAAACCTTGTTTTAAGAACACAAGAAGAAAAAATTAAATAAAAAACTGCAGTACCTTGTTAGTCATTTTTAATGAAACTTGTATAAAAGAGGAATTGCTGCCCAAATACAAAATTATATATACTTTATTTTAAGATATTACATCAAAAACATATAAAAACACTATACAAATGCAATCATGTTTTGATGTGTATTAACACATCTCATCAGGCATTAGTAAATGACTGGTTAGTAGACAATTTATTGAGATTTAAAAACAACATACCACCCACTCTTTACATGAGAAAAGGAAGAGAAGAAAAAGAGTAAGGAAAAGAGAGGGGATAGTAGCAGGGTTTGTTTTGTTTATATTCAGATCAACCAATCAGAATAGTGTTTTTACATACCTTTAATGTATAATCCTAAAATAAAGAATATTGCTCTATTTTTGTATTGAGCTCTTTTTAAACAGAATGTTACGAATGTCGGAATTGGATTCTATTCATTCTCATTTTATATATATATATAGATATATATATATATATATATATATAGGTAGGAATGACTTGGAATAAATATATATATATATATATATAGGAATGGGTAGGATAAAAAATATATATATGGACAAAGTCCGACAATTTATTTATTAAAGACATTTTTATGTTTAACGTTCTTTTTTTTTTTTTATAGATACAAGTATTTAAGTAAATGCTCTGTTTATAATAAACAGTATTAAATAACATTTACCGCCTGAATGTCTGAGAAATTTTCATAGAAAATATTCGTCCTTTGACAGGATTTGAACCTGCATCCTATACGGAACAGTCATTTACGCTGACGTGCCTAAACCTCTCGGCCACAAAGGAGCGTTCGGTTTATAAGCAGTAAATTCGACCTTGCCTACCGAACACTGTTAAACATAAAAATGTCTTTAATAAATATATATATATATATATATATATATATATAGGAATGGGTAGGATAAAAAAATCTACATACACACCCATATACTTGCACCTATGTATAAATATATTTCTTCCTCAGGTGTTATAAATACAGTGCTCAATGTCATGAAACAGAGCTATAAGTATTTATTAGTGAATATACATAATATCCAACGTCAATAGCATGTCTCCAAGTTTCATGCAGTTCTTGCAATCTTCAGGTGCAAATATAATCTGACCATTATATAGAATTTGTTCTTGTGGTGAGGATTTAAAATTGTGCATTAAAACTTGTTTAATTGTTGTTGCATAAAATATTCGAATATATATATATATATGCACACACACACACAATGAGGTGAACTAAGAAAATCAATCAATTACATGTAGAATAAGCAAATCCACAGTTTGAAAAATAAACTAAATACATTAGTTTCTAAGTTTGTGCAAATTAATTGAAACAACTGCTTTTGTTTCCTTTCTTTCACCATATGGTCAGTTTTAGACCCACTAAAGTGACAGGGTGTAATCGATTTCTATTTTTTCCTCAGATCAGATCATTTGCAGTGGTGTGCAGTAATATGAATTTTTGGAGAATATGATGAAATTTATTTGGCCTTGAAAAATAGTGCATCATCCATGATTGCATCAGATTTTTATCCTGCCTAGACACTATTGTCTCAACTGTCAATTAGTTGTCCTATGGCCATTGTCGGCAGTAGATGTTGCTCCAAGGGAGCATATGAAAATTGTAACACTGCACAAACTGGCAAGCCTTACCAGTGAGCAAATCAAAGTACTATATACTGACCTGGAAACTCTGCGGATTTAAATCCATTTGAGAATCTGTGGTCAATCTGCAAGGAACAACTTTGTGGAATGGACATACAAAGTACTAGCATGTGCAGTGGATCATGTTTCATTGGAAAAATATGAAAAAAAGTGAATAATAATGGAATTATTAATTTTGTTTCAATTAATTTGCACAATGGTGTAAAGTCATTAGAAAAAACCTGATTACAGATTCATCCAATTTCAAGCAATCAGATACAGCTGGAAAATCTTATCTTCAGTTTAACATTTGCTGTGTTTACAGATTGCATTATTAAACACTACCAATGCATTGACTCAGATTTCAACAAAGGATACACTCAGGGTCAAATTACAGCCACACTCAGAAAAAAAAAAAATAAAACCAGTAAAACTACACTTCGTTAGAAAACCTTGAAAGCAATATCAAACAACAAAAGCATTTATCTATCCTCTCCCAAGAAAGGCAGTGAAATTATAATTCAGGACATTTATCAAAAAAAAAAAAAAAAAGAAAAAAAGAAAACGAAAAAAAGAAATGAAACTCCTGATATTATGTAAAACAAAAATAAGGTCATAAAAGAGAAACAGAATTTATAAATGAAACTGAGAAATTCTTAGAAAATGAAGATATCTGATTAAAACTAACTGAACATCACCTGAAAACTCTCATACTCTACGGATTACCAAAAATTCAAAAACTAGATACCCCAATGAGACATTATAGCAGGAACTGGTAACACCCCACATAAACTAGCCAGTACATTAGCCAAAATATTCACCTCATTTCTTGGTACAATTAGCTCCTTGCATATAAAAAGAAAATCTGGTGAGCTTTTAAATAAATTAATATACAGACATAAAAATATATGACCAGTTATATATATATGGAATCCATTAATTTCTTGGATCTTTGAAAGGCACATCATCTCTCCTTGAATTTGGAACGCCATAAATTATGCTAACGTTTGTTCAACAAGTCAAATACGTATGAATCATCATTAACCAATGAAAACAACACAATAAAAATACCAGAATTTCTTTCTTTTTCACCAGATCTCATTCTCTGATGAAGCTTTAATAAAAGTGAAACATGGTAGATTGATAAACATTTCCTACTTGTTTTTTATTCTATCATTCTGTTGGATTCCGATTTGTATTTGATACCAATTCATACACACACACATTATATATATATATATATATATACACATACACACACACCATGGCATACTATATTCCAAATAGAGAAGAGCATCACACAAACGCATATATGTCTGTGTGATGCTGTTCTCTATTTGGAGTATAGTATGTTATGGTGTTGTATATATATATATATATATATATATATATATATATATATATATATATATATATATATGGACATGCACACAAACACATTGTTAGCAACTTTTAATTTTGCTTCAAGTTTAGAAAACTAATGAAGTGATTAATGGAAATATTTATAAGTTTTCATATGCAGGATATTTATTTTTATATTCATCTCCGAGAGACACCTTGTTTATGATAAGCCCCTTATCATAAACAAAGCGTCTCTCTGAAGAGGACTGATATTGAAAATAAATTCAAATCCCCACTTCCAGACAAACACTTAAGAGCTGAGGTCGACCGGGTTCAGACCAGCTTGAAATAGACCATACTCATGTTGTGATAATTTTGGTTTTAGCTGTAAAAAAAAAAAATATAATATATATATATATATATATATATATATATGCTCTGTTATAATAAATACATCTAGCTCTCTGTGGATCAGTTTTAATATTTGTTATATATCTATTACCTGTACTTATAAATATATATATATATATAAGTACAGGTAATAGATCTGTTGGTATATAATCCAGGTGGATCCTAGTAATAACAAATATTAAAACTGATCCACATAGAGCTCAATGTATTTATTATAACAGAGCATATGTATTTTTTTTTTTACAACAAAAATCAAAATTACCTCAACATGAATATGGTCTAAATAAATTTCATCATACACCACTGCAAATGACCTAAACTGAGAAAAAAATAGAAATTTTTATCACGCCCAGATACCCTGTCACTCTAGTGGGTCTAAAACTGACCGTATGGTGAAAGAAAGGAAACTAAAGCGGTTGTTTCAATTAACTTGCACAAGGGTGTGTATATATATATATATATATATATATATATATATATATATATATATGGTTAAAGTGGTTCTTATTCCAGTTGCAAATTTTAAGCTGAGATTTAAAGCCTCCAGTTCCTTGATAGAAAATTTAGCACTAGAAATGTTGTGAACAAGAGTTGAGTTACTGATTTTCTTCCATCTACTGCAGCTGCAAAGATCATGTAGCTTGTTTTAGGCAAGATTTATTTGTTGTTTTTGTATAAAATCGTCCATTTTAAACTTTTGCCTCTAGTTGGATAGAATGTTTTTTTTTATCTATGCAGCATTTTGCTGATCGATGCAATATAAATAATAAATGAGAAAAGAAAACCACCGAACCAAAAACGATAAATTTGACCATGTATGTGTATATGTTTTACCTTTTCCGACATTAGGTTATCGAATGAACAATCAACAGCAACACGAATCTGACATTTGGAATTCTTCATAGAATTCAACTTAAGGGCTTTTCTGGAGGGTCCAAGACTGATTCCTTGAGAACGAGCATCAGCATAGCGTTTCTTTTTTTTAGCCCGTTCATGCTTCCTACAAGAGAAAAAAAAAAAAAAAAATTAATGCCAGACTCCCTCCATTGGTAGTCTTTAATGCTGATTTTCTAGGCTCACAGAGATCAGTATCACAAAAAATCTTTCTTCCCTTATCTTAATGCTGATTTTCTAAGCTCGCGGAGATCACAATCTTTCTTCCCTTACCCTCATCTTTAACTGACTGTGCCCTAACAATCTAAGCTCTGCATTTCTTTTCTTTTTTAATCAATTCGCTCCAAGGCAAGGTAACAATGCTACTAAGATGCAAGAGGCTACTGGGAGTGAAAAAGAATGAAAAGATTTGAGAAGGAACTAGAAACCAGATCTTAAACAGGGAACAAGGGATAAGCCTCTACTCCTGTTCAAAAGACTGGAAAGGAGTGTGAAGTGGGTGATAGGCAAACCTATCTACTCCTATTGAAGAGAAAAAAATAAATAAATAAATAAAATCTCCTGGGCCTTGTACTGAGTAAAATTATAGCCTTTTACCAGGCAAAGCTTAATAACGTATTTTCTTGTGCATAATACAACAAATTTTGAACGTAATTTGAGGACAAAAAAAAAGAAGAGTAGTTCATATATATATATATATATATATATATATATATATATATATATATGTATATGTATGTATGTGTGTGTGTGTGATGCTGTTCTCTATTTGGAGTATAGTATGCCAAGCTTAAATAAACTTATTTGAAGCAGAAAGGTTACAAATACATTCAGCACAACAGAAAATAAAATGCAAAGTGTTGATAACAATTGTTTACAAAAAGTATTTAAAACTGCCTGAAGTTGTATCCTTAGTAGACTTCATAGAAGTTTTTCATGTTAAATGCTGACAAGATAGTTAAACCTTCATCTAACAATCTACTGAATTATTTATAACTATTTATATTGGGACTCATGCATACAATAACAAATAATTGATAATATTTTAAATATTGAAATCATATTTATTTTTGGCCTGTGAATTTTTTTGAAACTGTTCCGAAATCTTTCATTGTCTTTCAGTCATTCTGCCTCACCTGCTACCTTCTTCCACCACACCATTTGGGAACCACTGCTTTAAGAACACTCTGTCTGAGACAATTTTGAAAACTTCTACTTTGACCTTTCAACAAGGTCATCTCAGTTAATACATTACCCCAGAGAGTTAACTGCTAACTACCTCCTTGAATTTGATGTTCTTCTATATAATAAATGTGAACGTCGGTGTCACACTTATTCAATTAAAGGGACACAACTCTCTAACTTTCAATAGCTCATGTTACAGAAATTTTGGATTCCCAAGTTTTCATTACTGTGATTGTTTTTGATGCTTTTTTAAGGGATTTTTTGCGACAAAGTTTTTGTACGATTACAATTTTTCATAATTGTGAAATCCAGTGAAAGTTACCCATGAAATAAAAATAATTGTTTGTACGGAAAGTAAGGACCTACATACAAATTGTCTTTAAATTAAGTGGTGGTAGAAGAATTATTGTTGAACTTTTAAAAAGTAAGCTTAAATATTAATACAATACTTAAATGCAGCGACCAATTTTGAGTTCTTTTGTAATTTATTGTTGCCTATTGTATCTAATTCTCCCTAGCTATTGTGATGAAGACCCAACCAAAAGCCCTTTTCAGGAGCTAGCTTAAATGCTGCCAGATAGGGCAGCTTTTAAAGTAGTTTCTAAATAATCCTGTAATTTCATTAAAATTTCATTGAAATCCGACAATTATCTGATTTTTGCAAGAATTTCCAAATCAATGCTTTTCACCAAAAATATAAATCTCAAATTCCTCACACAAAGATCCTGCTATGAATCTCTTGAAAAACAAGATTTTACCCAAATTTTTGGAAAAACGAAAAAAAATTTCTTTTGATTTTTTTTTTTTCTTTTCTCTTCTTAATAGCACAAAGATTTTGACAATAAAATTTTGTGTTTATTATGGCTTTACTTGTTTAAGCTAGTTATATATAAGACACACAACAACATGACACTATTACAGATAAAATCTGACCTGAAACATTTTGACTGGCTTATGATTGTGATTCAATTCTGATGTAATGGAAAAACCAATGAGAAATTTTTAACACTTTTACTAACAGAAGAAAAAAAAAATTAATTCATAAAGTTATTGAGCAAAGCACAACAGGTTCTGAAATAAGCTTTCACTTGAAAAATATCTATGGATCTTCTATGTGCTGCATTGATTCATGATATGAATGACCATGACTCTCCACAACTTCCTATCCCTTGTGACCCTTTGCATTTGCTTTCCTTTTGCTAAGGCTGAACATTTCACCATTAATTCACACAAACTTTTGTAGGTGACTCGCTGTTATCCACTATCTCCCTTGCCTTTAAAAATGACTTATGAGTGTCAGATTTTCCAAGCCTTTCTTCCTCATTATGTATCCAAGAAATTTGAGCTGGTTCTTCCTAATTCTGAGTCTTTGTTTTGTCGCCATTTCCTTTAACGCTTCTTCATTGCTTATTCACTCCGTCCAAGGAATTCTCAGTATCCTTCTGCAGAACTACATTTCTGCTATCTCTAGTTTTCTCCGTGTCCATGAGGAGATTGTCCAGCATTCATTACCATATAAGAGGCTGGAGATCACAAAGCAATCCACTACTCTTTTCTTTGAGTTTTGGTAGTTGTCAAATCTTTTTTAAAAAAAAAAAAGATTTTTTTTTAATGTATCTACCTTGAAAGAAAGACAAAATTCAAAACTGTTTCTTCATCTACCTGTAAATAGATAACCACATATTTTCTTTTATCTGTCTGAATCACAAACCCATCTGGGAAGAATGTAAGCAACTTTAGCCCTAAAAATCTGAAAGGTAAAATTGTCCAGTATTGACTGCCATATTGGAGATTAACATTCACCTGTCATAATGGATGCATTTTTGAAAATATTGAGATGGAGGCTGGGACAAAGGTCCTGAACACCTTCATTATGAACGACTTCCATGTGGCCTCCATGATGTGTCTTGAGCCCTAAAACAAATGCATTGAAGTCAGAGGATTCTACTTTTTAAGGAGATTAGAGTTTTGTACTTCTTTGAAATGAATAAATATATCTGTCTTAAAAACTTGTAGAATTCACCTCATATGTGACAGAAGATTCATTTTTACTTTAGAACTTATTAACTGCAGTAACTCATAATAAAATATAAATAACAATATACTGGAATCAAAATTATGACAGGATATTTTATTCTCTCGAGAAAATTGTTTGAAAACAATTATTCCAAAAACATTTATTTGAATAATAAATTGTTTGAATGAAAATTAATTGAAAGGACAATTATACTAAATGATAATTATTCTAAATACCTATTTTTAATATGTATATGGTCTTGCTATGAGAGAGTCAATGCTGATTTACCTAGATCTAATAACGCCCTTGAAGGATAGCATAGAGCTTCTGTTTTATTGCAGCAAGTGTCATCCCATCATCCCACAATATGGAAATTCTTAGACACTCTTAAAAAAGGACAGAACTTGCAAGAAATTCATATTTCAAAAGTAAGAACAGATTGCCAAAATATCAAGAGCACCAAGAAAAACTGCAACGTAAATGGAAACTTTAAAAAATTAGTGGCATCCTTTAACAAGTACTCTTCAGTAGTTGACTATTTATGTGCAATATCATATGACTTAAGGTTATAAGGATTTTTTCTTACTAAATTGTTTTATTAACGATATTTGTACTTCAAATAATTATCATTTGTGTATTTCCTCTTTTAACCTTTATCACTCTGTGATTTCATTTGCTGTACAAAAAGCTTATCGTGCCACTTAAGGTGTCTCCGATCCCTGAACAATAGTGTGCTTGAATTTCATAATTGTGTTGTCATATCCTGCTATGGCAACAAAAAACAACTTTGAGTGAAATTAACAGTAAGGATACTGCAATTGAATGCAGTGAACAGGGAATTAATATTAATAACAGGCTTCACCGTTCACTATCACTTCACAAAGTAAGATATATTCACTACTTGAAATCTTTGAAACAAAAATTTTAAATAAACATTCATAAATTGGCTTGTTATAGTTAAGGAAAGTTTTACAAATAGATGCCAACTTGTTAAAGGCCAAGTAAAATGCAAATTTCAAATACTTTTCTGCACTATATAAGACAATATTCCTAAACAATTATTTTTGATATCAAAACCAAAACAATCCCTGAATAAAAGAACACTAATGAAAAACTGCTAATTAATGAAATATATTTTTTTTTTAAATCAATATGCAAATTAATTAAACTTGAAGAGTGATATCACCTCAAAGTAGATAATATATAATACAGATATTGTGCACTCCGGTCCCCACCTGACCTTGTGTCACATCTCGTCCTACTGGGGGGGACAGAGTAAATATTGTATATGAAGCAGAGTTGGGACTTTTTAACCCCAGAATTCATTCGATAATTTTGCTCCAATTTCACATTTATTCGTTTAGATTCCATTATATAAGTTTTACTTACTTAACTATTATGTTTCTCTAACTCTTCAAATGTTGAATGTATAACTAATTCTAATTTCTATTTTCCCATCTTTACACTATATTATTTTTATCTTATAAATTGTCCCATTCTGTCACCCATGAAATAAAAATAATTGTTTGTATGGAAAATAAAAATCTACCTACATAAATTTGTCTTTAAATTAAGTGGCAGCAGAAGAATTATTGTTGAACTTTTAAAAGGTAAGCTTAAACATTAATTCAATATTTAAATGCAGCGATCAATTTTGAGTTATTCTAGAGTTTATTGATGCCTATCGCATCTACCCCTCCCTAGCTATTTTTATGATGGTCAAATCAAGAGCCCTCCACAAGAGCTAGCTTAAATGCCATCCAATAGGGTGGCTTTTAAGCTAGTTTATAATAAAATGTGCTCTGCAATTTTGGATACAAAAGGAAAATAAGAGTTACAACCCTTGAAACATGAAAGCAACGATAATGGCTAGTATAATATATTAATATATATTTTTAACCTCA